TGAATGCAACGTCGTGCTCGGGAGGCCCAGCTCTTCCAACATGCGACAAAGAAGAGCGGCGGTTCGGCAGCGAGAGACAAAGATGATTGTGGGAACCAGCTTGCTCTCCACATCAACTTCGTCCTCTTCGCCCATACCTCGTGCTTCTTCGTCCGTCCATCTTGATCGACCGTCGCCTTGCGATCGACTAGGACAAGGCGCATTGAGCAACAAGTGATAGAGGTATGGTTCCCTCACGTGACTAGGTACAAAGATGTACTTTTGCACCAGCTGAGGAGGCGTGCTTGTTGGGCCTTCTATCCTGCATACCCGAACTGGCCGCTCTTCTACTGAACGAGGCTTTGTAGCTAGCGCTTCGATGGCTGGGGTCAGCGTTGCTGAGAACAGCAGCGTCTGACGCATAGACGAGGGCGGAAGAGCGGAAAAGATTGTGGAGAGCGCGTCGCTGAATGTGGGCGTGAGAAGTCTATCTGCTTCGTCTAGCACCTGTGATGCAAGGCAGCGAAGGCGAAACACATCGCACGCATCAGCGTGGCTGAAGAACAAGGAGCGATACATATCACGCTGCCTTTTACTCACGACGTATTTGCACCTGCTAAGAGCTTGGTGATCTGCATTGCCGAGCAAGTCGGCCAATCTTCCGGGAGTGGCGACGACGATGTTAGGTCTCTGATTGAGCAGCTGAGCCTGTCTCATCATATCCTGGCCGCCCAGCACCAGAGCCACATTGACACCCAGCGCAGCGCCCGTCGCAACGGCGACGATCTGTTCGTAGAGTTGTTGAGCCAATTCTCGAGTGGGCGTTAGGATGACTGCTGCACCTGCTATCAGATCTTTCTCGAGCGAAGAGAGAATGGGAAGTGCGAATGCGAGGGTCTTGCCGGAACCGGTGGGGGAACCGGCTATGATGTCCGAGGAGGAAAAGATGGAAGGTAAAGCTGAGGCTTGAATAGGCGTGGGAACGGTGATGCGCAAGGCAGATAGAGCTCGCTCTAGGCGCGCGGATAGACCCAGCTGCGTAAAGGAGGTGATGCTAGCTTCAGTCCTAGCCATCGAGGGCGCATCTTTCATCCCTGAGCTTTGACGCCCCGCATTTTCATGGTGAGATACTGCCAATGAAGCGCTTTGCTGAGCACGCTTTGCCGCAAGAGCTGCCGCTGCTGCGTTTGCAGCACCCACTCGAGATGTGGAAGGTGCATCCAGTGGCCTAGCAAGCGTCGACATGCTCGGTTCAAGTGATCTTCTCGGCTTCGTGAAAACTTGGACTTTCACAATGAGTGATGGCAAGTTGGAGGCAACAAAGGTAAGTCGCTGACGCTGGAATCGTGAATGTTCTCAAGTGGCAGCCAACCTTGGCTCGAGTGGCGAGCGGTGCGTGATGAATGGCTCGTATGTCGCTTCGATCCCTAAAATCAAATCATAGAAAGAGTCTCAAAATTGATGAGTTGCAATTTTAATCACAAATCACGAATCAAGTCAAGAAATTCACGATACCAAAATTAATTTTGAGGGATACATGTCACGTGACACGGACTTGCCTCGCGCTCGTGACTTCCCACCCCTGTGCCTCTTACCGCACGCACGCAGGCTCATCCCCACACAAGAGTCGAAATTCAAGACCAAGACGACCAAAAGACTCAAGACTCTAAATCTGACTGCTCATTACACGCACCATACCACGATCGCTCGAATGTCAGTGCTAGCCCTCTCAGTCGATTAAAATCCGTCTGCTTGATCGTAGCTTGGCTCCCCCAAGCACCTTTTCACCCTTCAACCTCTCTTGCGGCGCAAGACCAGGCTAAATGGAGTACACTCTGCCACGAGCGCAGCCAAGCACGCCCACGCATTCCAAATCTACGCGAACGTGTCCGTCTGCTAGAGGCCATCCAATAAGCAAACAACGTTGTGAGCTTGCTGATAGTCATGTCGGGCATCGCGAGCGGCACGGCTGCTGGAGGGTCCGGTGTAGGACCTAGTAGGAGACGCTGGGACAAGGAGGAGTTTGAGAATAGGGCCAAGGCTAGGGATGAAGAGGATCGTGAGAGGGCAAAAGAGAATGAACAGAGGATACAGCAGGGTGAGCCCAATTTTATCGCTTCTCTATCCTCATCCTTCCCTGACCCTTTCCCTCGCCATGCGACGCTTGATCTGGTCGCGCACTCTCGAACAGGCAAGAAGCCCACGTTCAAGCGTAAAGAGGACTTGCCCAAACCTACGGAACTGTTGCAGGCACGAAAAGAGGCGTTGGAGTTGGACAAGGATGTGGGAAAGAGTCAGATGGTGGATGTGCTCGGGGATGGAAGAAGAGGTGGACCTGGTTACTACTGCGATGTGTGCAAGAGGACGTGCAAAGACAGTATCGGATACTTGGACCACATCAACGGACGTATGCGTAAGTAAAGCCGTCCATCCATCCATCCAAGCATGCATGGTGGAGTCTAGGAGCTGATCGGACTGCTTACATGCGCTTTGGTGCTTGCTGGATCGCTCTGCTACGCCACGCGACGAGACAGATTTGCGCAGGATAGGTCAGACGACCCAAGTAGCTCGATCCAGCGTGGCTCAAGTGAGAGCACGCATCATGCTGATCCGAGCCGAGAGGGAAGCAGCAGGTGGAGCAGCAAAAGGCACGACGTACGATTTCGAGGCGAGGATAGAAGCGATTGCGAAGCAGCAGAGGATGGAGAAAGAGGCAAGGAGGGCCAAGAAGAAGGAGTTGAAGACGAGGATGCAGAAAGGGGACAAGGGCTTGAACGGAGGCGGAGATGAGGAAATGATGAAGCAGATGGGATTTGCTGGGTTTGGCAAGAGATGAGGAGTCTTGAGTGCGCTTGCCTAGGCGAGTTTCTCGCTGCGCACGCAAAACCACCTCATTCGCCTACCTCTCTAGTCGCATATATGCACTCATCTCGGTGGCTGTCAAGCTGTCCAACTCGAGTCTTGAGTCAAGCCAGGTCGTGTGCTGTATTTGTATTAACGACGATTGCTTTCGCGCATCTATCTACATCCATGACATTGGACGTGTTACTTAGCAGCATTAGTCAGTAGCAGTGATAGATCACTCGCGATAGCTTGGTGCGGAGGAGGAGCTGCTGACGGACTGATGACAGACAATTCCGTCCTGAACCCTTCCACGAGCTGATGTCGACAAGAAGCCTTTCTCCCGGCGGCCTAATCAGACTCAAAACTTCAGTCAGCAGTGAAATCTGATGAATTAGTCTTTTTGATGCTTGCGCATGGACATGTCACGTGACTTTCGATACTATGAATCTGTCCGCGCGTCAAGTCATTCAAGAACCCGGCATGCAGCACCTTCGTCTGCCAAAGAGGAGGTCAACATTACCACCGTCTTTCCCCTCTTCCTCTTGTGCTCACCTATCAGACTGACTGCCGCGAGCTAGAGTAGTACGGCGGCACGTTGTCGATTTTTAGAAGCTTTGGCAGCGCCGATCCGCTGCGCTGCTTCGACCATTGGCACGCTCGGAAACCTTGGGGTCGGCGTCGCCATCACACCATGTCGACATCTCAAGGCGCTGGCTTGGGTGCGCGAGTGTCGAGCTCGGAAGGAATGATGCAAGCGCAACAGATCATTCAGCTGGTCTCTTCTTCCCTCGTCGGCTTGGTACAGCAACTTTCGGCCGCCTCTGTTTCCTCGTCCGCACCGACATCCACACCAAGCGCAAGCTCCAGCAGCTCACCAGCATCGATACCGAGCTCTCGCACTGCCAAGTCACTCCTCGCTCCGATCGTCTCAGATCTAGCAACGCGCATCCAAAGCATTTTACCTCCTGATGAGCAAGTCGTCGAAGATGTCGGGACCGCCTCCGATACCAACGCAAAGAAGACGTCGACAATCAGTGGAGGAGAGAGGTTACGAGTGAGCTTGAAAGAGAACGTGGGAGCTTTGTTGAGAACAGAGGTGCTGGACCAGGTGCCCGCCAATCAATCTACTCTGCAAAAACAAGAGCTGGACCAGGAAAGACCGAAAAAGAGATCAAGAGTGGTGCATAGCGATCAGGTGAGCAGGAAGCTCGCTAGGAACATGCGCATTGTGCGCATCACGAGTAGAATGCTGATGCGCCATCCATGGCGTGCTGGATGGCTTCTGGGAAGGGGGTGGTGGAGCTTTCGTCAGATTCAGCCAGAGCTCTATCGGATAGACTGGACGTGGTGCTTGCCTTTGTAGATGCGGGTGAGTCAACCACAAGACAGCATTGTCGGGCTTACAGGCGTAAAAGCCTTGATGGCGACGCTGATGCTTTGCGGTTTGGTCGGATCTCCAAAAGACCTTGTGGACGCTTCCCTCCCTCTCCAAATCCTCGAAGAAGCATTTGAAGCGCTGCCCATCAAGAGCTGCTCCTTACTTTTCTCATACATGGAGTCGCGTCTGGATCAATTGACAGTGGGATTGTCACCTTCCAAAGGCAAAGGCTTGACACTGCTTAGACTGTGCAACGATCTCTTGAGAAGGCTAAGCAAGCCTTCCAGAGAGCAGACCATCTTTGCTGGAAGAGTCCTGAGCACACTGTCAGCTGTCTTTCCTCTAGGGGAGAGGAGCGGAGTGAACTTGCGCGGCGATTTCAACACGGACAACAAGACGCTCATTGAGCCTTTACCGGCGCAGATCAAGGAAGGCAAGGCTCAAGATGAAGAAGAACAAATGCAAGGTGAAGATGATGGCGTAGAAGCAAAGGCGGAGAAAGCGCAAGGTGCAATCAAAGCGGAGTCCTCTATAGGCTCGATAGCCTCGATGGATCTCAACACGACCGAAGGTCTTTCCACAATCTGTTCTTCACCGGAGTTTTACTCGACTTTTTGGTCGTTGCAGAGCATCTTTAGCAATCCTTCCTTGCTCTTCGACGCCAATAGCCCTCTTCAGTTCCCGGTACCCGAAGGTGCAGAAGATCCTGCACCGGACGGATCCAAAGGTCCCATGTCCGGCTTGAGGATAGCGACAAAATTGACGCTCAAAGTGTTTGCTGCGGCTGCCAAGCGGGAAAAGATACTTGCTGGTGCGAAGGGAAGCGAGAGCGAGGCGGCAAGAAATGCCGCGAGAAGAAAAGAGGAGGAAGAGAATGCGAAACGCTCTTTAGGCGGAACGAATGTGAAGGATGGGAGGATTGAAGCTGGAGCGGACTTTGGTCTGCAGAGAAGCGAGAATGTTGAGGAGCAACAGGATGGAGATGCAATGCAGACAGACGAAGATGGGAGTCGACCAGCATTGCCTGAAACTCGCAAGAACTTCTTTCCAAAGTATCTCACTGGCAGGAATTTGCTGGAATACGAAGTGGGTGGACGACTCGTCTGTTCGCGTCGCTAATGCTTGGATCGCTGACCCAGATGCCGGACCTCTTGAAGCTGAAAGATCCTAACTTCAGAAGACACGTGCTGGTTCAATGGCTCATTCTCTTTCAATATCTGCTCTCTTTCACGCCTACACAAAGGGAAAAGTGGAAAGATTGGAAGAACAAACAGCTGCAGACCATCACGTTTGTGCTGGACGATGCGGATGTGAGTACTTGGAGACTGTCGGACGAAATTCCACCACTCTCTGCAGTCGCTGATCAAAGTTCTCTTGCCAACTTGATAGGACGGGTGGATCAGGAGCTGCTGGCGAGAGATCATCGCTCAGCTCAAAGCGATTCCACCTGAGGGCAAAACCTTTTCCGACTCGGTACTTCAGACACTCAAGCGAGAGTCTCGATGGGTACTGTGGAAGGCAGACAATTGTCCGCCCATCGACTTGGCTCCCCTGAGCGCAGAAAAAATCATCGAGTACGCCAAAGCTTCCCAACCCCTCCTCAAGTCTCTCTCAAGCTATCCTCATTCGATCGGGACCGCTGCGCTTAGCCATCTGTGGGAGGAAGGGCTAGAACCGCCAAAGCCAAGCACACGCGACATTGATGGCGAGCAAGTTGAGGATGACGGACTCGGCGATCTGGAAATGCCGCTGCGCATACCTACGTTGCAAGGCTATGCCAAGCTTGTCCGGGCACAAGAAGCCAATGCTAGCAAGAGGAGAAAACAGCTAGGATGGGAAGAAGCGCCACAAGATTCGCCTGATCCGTCAGCGCTTCTGCCAAAGAATGCCGAGGAGAGGGGAAAGGTGGACAAGCTGTCGAAAGAGGAAAAGGCGAGGGTGGCTATAGAGGGCAAAGATGCGTTGCTGAGCTCCATCGAGGACAAGAGGAGAACATTGGCTTGGAAAGCTCTGCGGCTGGCAAGCAGACAGCATCTCGACCTGCTAACGTCCACTATACGCGTCGATGACATTACTACGCTCATGCGCCTGGTCGATGAGCAGAAAGTAGGGGCAAGCACCGCGGACGAGGCACAAGACGCCAATGAACCCGTTCCGGTCTAC